GCAAAGGACACACAAATGCCAGAGCATTAGGCTTAAAGACATTCCCTGCTGACTGTAAGCTTCCTCGCTCCTCCGAGTATTACCCCCAGGGTCTGGATTCACTAAACAGGGCAGTTCATAAATGGAGCAGCAACACCAGACTTTGGCACCACACTTTGGGAATGCAAATATTTAGCCACAGATAAGGGACTCATTTCTTCCACGGAGACACGCTGAACGAAAGGCTGCAGGCAAACAGAAGGAGCTGCAACCAGGGGACCACTGTAGTGCCTATAGCCATAGGTCAGCACTCCAGCACTGCTCTAGCATAGTGTACTAACATTTTTTGATGCCACATTTTCACATTCATGCTTAAAACTGGGAGGACAAAAATACCTGTAGATCAGGAAGAATAATGGACTATGGTGAGCTCTAAGGATGAGACAAAAGGTGTTAACGCCGTTACGCTGTATACATGAATTAACCAGGATACACCGATTAAGGGAGCAGATTCAACAAGAAGTCATGTAACTTGAACTGTCTTGGTAAATAGCACAGCCTGAGACAGCTGCTGGAGACCAGGCAGGCAGAACTACGCAGAGAGAAAAGGAAACCAAAATTATCCTCAGCGTAAGATCCCGCAAGTCACACCTCGGAAGGATGGGTATTTACCGTCACCTTTGTCAGTGCACAGCACGGTTCGGTTCAGAAATAACCACACATGCTGAGCAGTAAAGTCTGCAGCAAGAGCACTTTACTGGAGGGATATTGGATAACTGAAATAAGGTATTTCCAAAAGGACACAAAAAAAAAGAAACCTTGATAAACCAGTGCCTGGACTGAAATTCAAGACAAAACCCCACACCATTAGAATAACTGCACTGACATTTAATTTATCACCCTGGATAAAGTATCTTTGGACCTTCTCTCCATCTCCAGCCCTGATGCAGGCTATCTATCTAAGCAGGCTTGCAAACAAGCTGTATTTGTGCTCAAACACAAATGCTTAACTTCCAATTTAAATATGTATGATCAAAATTTTGCAACAGCAGAATCTGGATTCAAGTTCTAGTGGGATGGGATGAGGCTACACCCTACCACAGACGTTAAGTTGAAGTAAAGTAAATCCATTTCCCAGGCCGGTGTCCTGGAAGAATTTATAGGACCAAACGTCAAAGTGAAATGCTTCAAGCAACAGGAGTGTGAAAAGGATGAAAATGGTAGGATACGTGGCTCCAGCGAGGGATACATTCGGGAGTTCACAATGCAGTCAGAAGAGCTGGAACTAGTAAAGCGCTGTGCCGTGACGCTGCGCCTCGCTGGCATCACAGCAGCCTGCACGCGGGACGGCACTACCCACCGTATGGATGACTCGGCTGTGCTGCCCTTGCCCCGCCGGCTCTTTTCCAGCAGGTCGCAAGCAGCTAGCAGAGGCTCGCTGTGCATCCAGCCCACCGTGCTGCAGTTGGAAAAACTAAGGGGATCCATTACAGGGCTACAGTAGAAGTGAAGGAAAGCCCTTCAACCAGAAACGGGGTACTGGACAGAACTGAGAGAGGGGCTTCCAGCACATAGGATAGAAAAGTTCCTTTCCATACAGGCATGGCTCTGTAAGACTGTGCACAGCCCCCTTGCAGTGTTTGTTCTTTGCTGCAGTTACCATTATTTCCTGGGTATTACATAGAACTTGTGAACCTGAACACTGCTATCGCTTTCAGTTCCTGCCACAGCAGCAAGGAGTGGCCCTGAGTCATCTCTGCAGGGCTGCGGTTGCTCAGCGGGGGTTCGCAAGAGCCGTGACGCTGCAGAAAGACAAATGGACATCGCCAAGTGGACACAGAAGAATGTGAATCTGCTGGTGGGCATGTGAAACCTAAGAGGAATAGTTACGAAGAAAAAAAATGTAGCAAGAGTTGGACGATGATGGAGAAGGGACAGAAGGAGATTTTTAGTAAGACTTCATTATCTAGTTTTTTGCAAAAAGACATCCTGATAAACAACAAAGCTGTCAGTAGCCATTTAGAATCACTTATCATATTCCTCTTTTTCTAATTTAATAACTGACAGCTACTATACCACCTACCAGGAAAGGAAACACCTTTAAACTTCTCTTCCTTTCCTCTAAACAAAGTTCTGAAGCCAAAATCCTTTTGGGATAATAGTTTCACATGCATTCACAGATTTCTTTTTTTTTCAAAACACAGAATAATCATCAGTTTCTTGTATTAGGAAGTACATATATATAAATCAAGCAATGGAATTTTTACTACACTCATTTCCCTTTTGTTCCTAAACAAACCCCTCGAGCAACACTGGGCTGCATGGGCTGGCCATGTGCTCGCTCCATCCGCACTGGAGAGTGTCAGAGACCGTATCCTTACGGAACGGAGCTCCCTGGTAACAGACCGCCAGCTCTGACAATTCAGAGTCACTGAAGCTCACTGGCAAGGTTAGCAGAAACCTTCCCCTAGACCAAACTGTTCTGGGTATCACTGCTGTATTTTTTTCCCCTTTTTTAAATTGGTATTATCCTAAGAGTGCTAGTTTCAGCAGGTGGAGAGATAAATAGAAGCAACTGAGCTTCATCAAGGTGCTTTGAAACAGTGCCAGGTTTGGGATTTTATACACCTTTGTGTGAATTATCTGTCTGCCACTGAAGTCACGTTTGGCTCTCTAACAGCTTTTAGACAAGCTACACCTTCAGCTGCTGTGGGAAACACACTCCAGGTGGCTGTCAGTAATTTACCGTCCTTCACAACTTTTCACTCCCGTTCAACCGACAAAAATCTGGTGCCGCAAAATGAAAGATTTCTTTGAAAGTGAGACAGGGAGCTCCTCAGATCATAATTTTCAAGGAATTTAAGAGCTATTACAATTTTGTTTTTTAAATTATGTGTACATTTTATGCTACATAAAAAGCAATACGACTTCACTTCAAAGAAAACCCTGAACTTCCAGTCTGCGTATCTCAGGTAAGTGAGGAACCTGTCTGAATATCAGCCTGCTTGCTATCAGTCTCTTCTGCCTGGGACATCACCTGTTGACTACCACAACAGTTTTTCCACCTCCTCAGGTTTATAGCCTATAAAAGGACCTGTATTATACCTGGTTGTATAGTATACACTATATATAGCCTTTAGTTATATATATTATGTAAGTCTATCACTTACATAATCTTTACAGCCTGCAACTTAGGTTTCTGGCATGGTAATCATCACAGCTATTTGGTTACTCACCCAATGGGTCTGCTCCTACCGATGTACCATCTGCCCTGTTAACATGCCAAATCATCAAATAAATATCATTTTAGGGGCTGGGCAGAAAAAAAATGTTATTTTTTCAGCAGTGTATCAGGTAAATTATCCATTTTGGGGAAGCACTGAAATACTTTATGAGCTTGCTATTCACGACGTTTGCAATTTTCAATCAATCAAAACTGAAAACATTTAAATAAATGAAATCCTGCAATCCTGCCAACCCAACTAAAGCAGCTTGACTTGTAAAGAGATCCATTTCCACCCGCCCAATCTGCACTCTCCCAAGTGATTTTGAAGTAGCTTAAAGAACAATAAACACAAGTAGACCTTTAACTACCACCCATATAAAACCAGAACGCTTGTTCTACAAAAAAGGACAGAGTAGACTAATAAATATGCTGTAAATTGGTTTAGAAAATGATCTATACTTATAAATATAGTATTTTTCTTTCTTTTTCCTGTATTTGTCTTTGTGATAAGCAACTTGCTATTTCACTAGAACTTGCTTTCACCCGTAGAAACCTTTTGCATTGCACCCTTCCGCTGCAGCACACCGACAGAACAAGTTCTACCCTCTGTGCTGAGATACCTGCAACTTCTGCAACACACTTCTACTTGGCCAGTCACATATTCTGAACTCCCATCATTCCAAGTCCCCACATCACATTTTTTCCATCTTGCCTTCTTGCAGAGAATTTAAGAGTATGAGAAAGCTGTCCTCTGTTGAAAACCTAAGTGTACGGCGGACCCGACAAAGGCATAAGCAGAAGTTAGAGGCTCTCTCAGCACAGCAGAGTTTACAGTTCCCTTCCAGGCAGTGCCAACAGCCAGAAGTTCTTTCTCATGTCCTACCTGTGATGTGCAGTTACCCAGTGAAAAAGAAGAAAAAGGATAGTTTCCTTAAGTTGAGGAGGGGAGAATATTTTTTGCTAATGGTAAGAAGTTGTTTCATAAAATATAGTTTATCTCTGTTCCCATACATTATACTCTCTTCTTTATAAACTGTCCCTGCAGCATCAGAATCCCTCTCCGCAATTTTTCCCATAACACTCCAATCCCTGCTTGGATTATTGGCAACACAAGTAATGCTGCACAATTCCCTGATCTTTTTTTTTTTTCCAAATTAAATGCCCTGTTTCCTCCCCCCAAACCCAAAATCCCCCCCCCCCCCGCCCCAACCACAGCCTCAGTGATTCAGTCAGGACACATTCACAGCATTGCTTACTCTGTGTAAGTGATAAAAGTTTTTCTTAACAGGCCACATAAAATATTTTGTATCTCTGCCTTAGAAAACACACGGTCCCTGACACAGATTAAGAATTACAAAGAAACAGGATTCTGTGGAAAAATGGCAGAGACCTAGAAAACCAACCACCTCCATTTTAATGTCAAGATCCAGTGTATGCAGACAATAGGTTCTTTCCCTCCTTTTTTAAAAAAAATAAAGCTACTTTCCTCTATTCAGTATCCTGATCACATGAAAAATAAAGATGAGGGCTGGGGGAAAAGGAGTGGGAAGAAGAGGTGGGAGAGTTTTCCCATGAAGATGGCACCATATCAGGAAGAATCATTTCAGCACAAGAGCCTCACTGAAACACAGCTTTTAGTTTTAAACCAGTTCTTTGGAGAAAAATGCACAATCCCAATAAAACAACGTAACTTTGCTTCTGTGCACGGCTCAAGAGAGCCGGTTTGAATTTGGTGGTAGGTCAGCCATATTCTGATGAAATATTTTCACTGGTTCTCACAGTTTAGAGGTGACATTTAGCAGGCACACTTTTTATCCTCTGGTTTTGCTGAATCTAGCTTTCCCGAGCTTCCTCCGTTGGCTGTGTCGGAGACCTGTGTCTTGTCCACACATTGCTCCATACGCTTCATTATCAAGTCCAGAAGCGTGTCCACAGCCTTCTCCACGTTCTGTCCGGTAGCAGCACTTGTTTCAAAGTACGGTATGCTAGGGTGAAAAGGAAAAGGTTTGCTAGAGAGACTTTTAAAGGCAACCGAGACTCAAGTCTTTGTAACACTCTCTGTGCAGCTGTCAAGGGTGGGTTTAGTGGCAATGAACTGAATGGGACAGACTTCTGACCTGTCAGGACTCTATTTCCTTGCTGGGCAGAACCCAAACTCCTGTACCTAGCACATGGTGGCATGACGACATGAGCACAACAATGCCACATTAATTTACAAAATGTGTCCTGGCATTTTGACTTCAAATTGCAATAACATCAGCATAAACCTTGGCTGAAAAAGTCTTTCAGGTAACCAGAAAGTCTATTTTAAAGAGAAACCTAGGTCTGCATTACAAAAAATTTCAGGGACCACAGAACATACCAGAAATGTTTTTTGGGTTTTTCTTAGGTAGATAGTTACAACTACAACTGCTATTTAGCAGTCCCTGCAAGTACTATCTCCCTGCCTTCCTGTCTACTTTTAAGCACAATTTAACTTAGCTGTTTCTATTCTGAAATCCCCTTTGAATCCAGAATATTGCCTTCCAGATCACCTTTTTCAGAAGAGAAGATTACCAGATGCTCCAGCACTTCCATCATATGAAATCTCGCATGAGCTACCTTCTCCTCAGTGTCACTGTCCTCCTTGCCTGGCTGCAGACAACTCTCTTCTTTTACTATTTTTAAGTCTAATTTGCTTACTACACCTCACAGTCTCTCAGGCCATCTTCTGCCGCTGGCGCAATTCTCACTAAGGAAAAAAAACCAACCACATTCTTTTTGTCCACAGCACTATTTACTAACTACATTAACCATCAGCCAATTTATCCAGCTATAGGACCCTCTGCAGGTGTTTTTAGTGCAAAGAAATGTAGAAGGCTCACTAGAACAAGAAAAAGGTCATTAACAAGTTCATTATCTATCAGGGAAAAACAAATAAATTCAGTGCCACAGCACATATAGAACCTGACCAAGATCCACAGGTGTTTCCACTTCCAAACTAGCTAAAAAAGCAAATTATAAATACTGTTAGTTGTTTAGTTCATGACACTGAGTGTTCATCAGCCTTTGGTATACTCTGTCCTGAACTCTCAGGATAAGCCAACGTCCCAAGAATGGAGTTTTCTAGTAAGAATGTTTCATTTCAGCTTTGTTTCTTATGTTGTAATATTTTGGCCAAATTACTAGAACAGTGTGTTTCATTCTATCTATTTCCTATTCAACAGCTTGACCTGAAAGTGTGACAAGTTGGATATCACTACAGGTGTATGTGATACTGCAATGCCTACAAATCTTACAGTTTGTAAGTATACTTACAAGTATCTCCAGCCAGTCATCAGCTACACTTACAACAGTTACAGACTAAATTTAGCTTCTTTTACAATCTGCTTACCCGTATTTGTCTGCCAGATCTTTTGCTTGCCTTTCGTTTACCTCCCTTTGGTCTGATAAATCAGCTTTATTACCAATTAAGACTATATCTGGATTCTCACAATAGGCATTGGCTTGCAGCTGACCTAGGAGCAAAAATAAACATAAGTTAAGGGAATGTTGGAAGCACCTTGAGATCAAGATTGTTAACAAAATAATTCAAAATATCCTTCTTGCTCCCCACCTCAAAACATCCTAGACTAACCAGCCAACCACTTCATGCCAAACACTCTTCCTTGTTGTACGTTTACTTGCTAAGGGGAATTTTTCAAAATAGGAAGTAGAAATGGTACTAGAAATGATCTCCAGTATTTATTTTACCAACATACAACAAGACTTAACTGCAACAAGGTGCACTAAACACAGTGCTTGAGCAGAGGAAAACCTCCACCAGCCAGAACTTTTACTCTACAAGACTCATAAAGATGTTGTGTACGATGTACAAACAACGTCTCACATCATCTGCAAATGCAGCTCTTCAGAAGTTTAGGACAAAACCCTCAAGAGTGTTTTTCTCTTGCATATACCTAATGGTTTAAATGCAGTTTTATCCACTTGAAGATCCAGCCACCGGTACTGTCCACAGCCTCACCTCTCATCAGTAATTGTACAAAGCCATTTACTTATCCTTGCCTCAATCCTGATGGGACTGAATTGAAAAGGTGCAGTAAACACAGAAGAAATTCAGAAACTCAGCTTGGTAAGCAGTGGAAGATTGTGATGACAGGGATTGTTTAGTGGGAAGAAGGAATCTCTGAAGATGATACAGCTATTTTCACAAAGCTATCCGGACTCTCACATTATCCCCACTTCAGCTTGTTTGCTGGAAAACTGCCAGCCGGAAATGTATTGGCCTCTCTCCTTCTAGCACTCTAAATACCCTCAATTAAAAACAAACTTTAAGAATTTAACTTCTGTTTCACTTCTAGTCTAGCTGTTGTCTGAAGGAAAACCAACAACAGCAAATGCTATGCGCTTTCAAACCAAGTCCCCGAAGCCCAATCTTAATTTTAATTTAAAACTCAAAGCAGACAGGAAGGAATCACATTCTGCTTTACAAATAGAAAACACACCATAAAGATAACAGCAATATCGAAAGTAGAGCTTCCAAGCTCCTGTATATCATCTAAAATATGGGGTATGGCCAAGGAAGTGTCGAATGCCAGGAATTTTCAAGCGGCAACAGATTTATTGAAATTGTACCAAATCCAAACAGTATTATCAAGAATATGGCCAAAACAGTCTATCGTGCAAAAAAACGAAGAGCATATATCTTTCCAATTTGATGAAGCTTTCACCCCAAATTAAAGGCTGCAAGTACCCCATTTATGGCTGCGCTAGACATTACTTTCTTTGAGCACTTTCCAGCTCACAAACAGTGACACACATAAAGCCTAGAAGCATGAAACACACAAGCTTCAAGTCAACCGATAAATGCAAGCTCTAAGGTTCTACTTACTCATCCAATTTCTGACATTTAAGAAGCTCTGTTGACTGGTGAGATCAAACATTAGTAAAAAGCCCATAGCATCTCTGAAAAACGCTGTGGTGAGACTTCGAAATCTGAAGGTGGAAGAAAAAAAGACAACATAGCTCTATTAATACAAAGTGATCTCTAAGGTAAGCACTTTTCTGGCAAGCCTGAGCTGAGTAAAGGAAAAAGAGATGAAGTAAAGCTTTTCTGAATTGCTTGTGCAAAACTTCTCTTTAAAAATATCTTGAAATCCGAAGAGTCTACAAGATTTAGTGGACATACATTCCCTTGGAAGTAAAAACAAAATAAAATAATCCTTGGCTTTCATTTTTTGCTATGATGCATCACACCAGTCAACTTTTATTAATCAATGTGTTAGCAGTTTACCCGAGGAAGCTTATATGTGAGAATATAAACATTGTCAGTGACTAATCTATTAGTTCACATTCTGCCTGACTTAACCGAGAATGAGACAGAGACAAAGAGAGAAGGTTGGTTAAATGAAAAAAAAAAAAAAAAAAAAATCACATATCACAGTGATAGACATGGATTCACCTCCCGAGATTACACACACTTAGTCAATGGATGTGCACTACTCAATATCATCAATATTAAAGAAAACAACAGCAGAGTAGGTGGCTATTTACATGCTTTTGATTGTTCAGTGTGACTATCTGCTGTGAAGCTCAGCTAAAAGGAAAAGGTGCACGCTAGACACGCATGCATTCCGTCCGCAGACATGTGTAAGTCTGCATGCACAAGGGACATGGGTCACAGCCTTCCTGCACAGCTATGGAGCTGGATGAAACCACAAACCATGAAATGCAACTCTGTCACCAAAAGGTCACAAGCCTGTTCAAATCAGAAACGTGAAGAAACAGTGCAGGAAAACTGTGCCATGGCACTCTGGTGTTTTCTATATCGCAGGGATCCAGTACGCCACAAAACAGCACTAAATAAACTGGCACAAACCAGCAGTACCAGAAACAGTAACTGGTATTTTATGACACACACCCATGAAAATGAAAACAAAAGCTCTCCTCATAAATGTCAGATACCTGATGCTACTTTTAGGGGTTCTTTTCAGGGGAAAAAAAAAAAGCTTAATCTCTTGCAGACTGTCC